GAAACAGGGGAGTTCAGAGACTGTGTTAATCCAAAAAGTGAAGGAAGGTTAACCGCTCTCTGCTCTGAAAATGTTTCAAATCGTGTAAGTGACTGAAGGTAATGATACTAACTCAACTGCATTTTTACTTGCACTGTATTTTGATTTTCCCCTTTAGAGATTCTGCTTACATGTTTAGAAGACAGTTAGATTCAGGGCTGGGCTAAAATCTAAATCTCGATTAAGAATAATAAATGATTATTTTATTCATTTTTTGCCCTCATTGTTCACTGACTGTTTTTTTTTTTTACAGTAAATATACTCACATATTACAAGTGAGAGATTTTTGAAGGAAGGGTGCATTACCCGATTTAAAATAATAAATTAAAAAAAAAAAAGTAGATTATAGGTTCTGAATGTTGTGATTACTTTTCGCCCAGCCTTTTTGGAGTCAGTAGAATAAGTTTTTGCAAAGTTTATTATAATTTGTTTAGGGAATACATTAATAAAGCAAACAGTCCACTAATGTGACTAATGACTTTTAGTTTAATTGCAAAGTTATTCATGAGTAACAGGGTGTCTAAAAGGGACCATCAAAATATATATATATTTTTCAAAACTTTAGTCAAATCTACTTTGGCTCTGCCTTTGCTGCTTGTCTCACAAAGATTGCTGAAGTACTTTTGCAGTGGAGTGAACTGACTCAATAATCCATCACACAATTTCTCTTTCATGTGTTTGAAGGTCTGTTTTAGTTTATCTAACAGGTTCAACGAGAACACCCAAACCTCAAAGACACTTTTTTCCCTATCAAAGGAGGAAAACGGAAATATTAGTTCATCTGAGCCATTTGAACATTTTACATTGACCTCACCGAATTTGCATGGTGTTATTTAATGTAAAATATAATCCTCTTTATTCTTTGTTTTTGTATAACATGGGTACTGCTTTATTAATAAAAATAAAAAGGATAGATTTACTACCATTCACAATTTTGGTAAATTGTTTGCATTTTATTGAAATGTTATTTACAGCGCTCAGCATATATGAGTAATGTACACCCCTTACAAATCTCTCATTTAAATTAATATTTTCTTTTTGCTTTACAATATTATATTTGTGCATATACATTACATTAGTCAGTACTGAAGATAAATCTGGAGATAATCTACAAAATAACTTGTGATTGCAGTCCAAAATTAGTACACCCAAATGTATATGTTTGGGAAAAATATTAAGCAAAATTCAAGAGAAACTAAAAATGTATAAAATTTTCATGAAATTGTGTTATTTTTTCTCCAATATGTAACATTTAAAACGAGAAGCATCTTCAAGGGGAATAGCCATGTCACAGACTCAAAAGATTGGTCAAAAGAAATGTATGAGAAACGGAAGTATGAGGTTGAGTATGAGGAAAAAGTATGAGGAAAAAAAAGGTTGATGAAATGCAAATTTTGACAGTTTTGAAGCACTAGTTTATACATATCCTTAAGGCTAACTCTATATACTCACACTAACACCGAAAATTTCACGATAGCTTTAATATCCTTTTTAAATGTCTTTTAATTGAAACTTCACCAAAACTTAAAAATTCTGTCATTATTTACTCATCCTCCACTTGATTCAAACCTGTTTGAGTTTCTTTTTTCTGTTAAACACAAAAGAAGATATACTAAAGAATGTTGGGGAAAAAAATGTCATTCACTTCTATAGTAGTACAGGCAGGTTTTAGAACAGTACAGTACATAGTATATAAGAGCAAAACTCAAGAGAATTTAAATTAAATATATACCAAAATGGGGTGTAGTCATTTATTTTGGGAACTGTATTATAAATAATAATTTGACTGTTTATTGAATAAATTCTAAATGTTATTTTGATCATTTGTTTAAAAATGCTGTTTTTTTGCTATGTCTTTCTATTTTTTTATATTAATTTTGTGGAAACATTGCATTTTTTAGGGTTATTTGATGAAGCAAAAAGTACCTAGCAGAATCCTTTTCTTTATTGATTTTTTTGTGTAAATCTAAAACTCTTTTGGTATATTAATACATAAAGTATGTGTACTTTTGAATGGCAGGGTTTGTAAAGATCTGTATCTGTAAATACTTTTCCTATCTACATTATTCTTCGCGTACAGGCGGGTGCAGACATTTGAGTTTTTTGGCTTGAAACTTTCAGTCTCATTAACTTTCATTCATTTTTAGATGTCAAAAACGACTCGTTCTGCTGCTTGACGCTGCAAACTGATATGTCTTATTATATCATTCTGCTTTGTCAATAAAGTTCTGCTCACACTAGTTTGTAGAGCAAGTAGTTTGACCGTTTTCTGCCGTTTATTATTCCTAGTCATTGCTCCAGTAGGCAAGTTAATCTGAAGTTCTAAAACAATCACAAAAACAAGTGCACTTCTGCAGTGATGAATAAGGTCAATACAGTGATATAAAAGATGGAGAGCTCTTTACACAATATGCCATTGCCTAATAAATGAATATAATATGGAGGATGCTGCCATTTTGCTCTTCTTTTTCATTTAGAGTCCATAGATAAAGCTGAAGATGTACAGTGCAGTGTGTATGTGACATTGACAGTGTGGGTGGTATTTTTTATTTACAGTGGGCTCTGTAATGGCGCAGTGTGTGCTGATGCGCAGTGTCTTGCCCCTCTCGCAGTAATGGAGTGTGTATTTTTGGAAAAGCCTGTGGACTGTAACCTCGGGTCAGAGCCCTTGACTCAAGCAGCCACGATTCATTCTGACATGGTTTGCCCCTGATTCTCTTGCGGAATATTTTAAGCCTTATTTGGTTTGAATGTGAAAAATATCCATCAAAGATGGCCAGTCCTGCCTAATTAAAGCAGAGGTCAAAAAAATAATTTTCCATTTCAGTGTTCTGGTCCTTCATGAAATGTCCTTCAAATTCTGAAAACCAATGCACAGTTTTCAGTGTGAGATAAAAGATAAGATAGAAGTAGAAGACAAAAATCTGAAGTTCAAATTAGAATGGGTTTGGTTAATGTTTAACAGCCATAAAAATATTATTTTTCGATTTTTCTAGCATCTGGTGTTTAGTATTTAAAGGGTATTATGACAAACTTGTTGTTTTTGTTTTAATTATATTTTATTGATTTAAAACATGCAAAACTAAGTCTCAATCTGAAATTTTAAAGTAACACTTAGCATTTTAGTTCTGTGCTGTGATTTAAAAAATCAAATAAAATCACACACACACACACACACACACACACACACACACACACACACACACACACACACACACATTTATATTTTTATCATATATATATATATATATATATATATATATATATATATATATATATATATATGAGGTTCTCTCAACTGAAACATAAAGCCAAGACGGGACATATTAACCCCTCATATTTAAAACAAAACAACCAATAGCATTTAGTTTTTTATCACAGCTCTGCCACTGACAGTGATCAAGATCAAGCACAAGCATCAAAAACAAATGAGAGCTAAATATGTAACATACATCCTATGTATGTGAAGTCGGTTCTTTGCCTGTTGTAAAATAAAAAAAAAAAGTTGAATTATAAAAAAAGAAGAGCAAATGAGAAGTATGAGTACGTAAAAGCATTTGTTTGGTCAGAAGTAATTTTTGAGAAACGGAATTATGAGGTGAGATGGAAAAAAACTTGTTGATGAAATGCAAATTTTGACACTGGTTTGGAGCACACTAGCTTATAGTTGAAGTCAGAATTATTAGCCCCCTTAGATATTTTTTCTTTTTAAACTATTTCTCAAGCGATGTTTAACAGAGCAAGGAAATTTTCACTGTATGTCTGATAATATGTTTTCTTCTTTTTCTACTTATTTGTTTTATTTTGGCTAGAATAAAAACAGTTTTTAATTTTTTGAGGAAAAAATTATTAGCCCCTTTAAGCTATATATATTTTTAATAGTCTACAGAACAAACCATCGTTATACAATAACTTGCCTAATTACCCTAATCTGCCTAGTTAACCTGATTAACCTGGTTAGGCCTTTAAATGTCACTTAAAGCTGTAGAGAAATGTCTTGAAAAATATCAAGTCAAATATTGTTTACTGTCATCAAGGCAAAGATAAAATAAATCAGTTATTAGAAAAGAGTTAGTAAACTATTACGATTAGAAATGTGTTAAAAACAAATCTTTTCTCCATTAAGCAGAAATTGGGGAAAAATAGTTCAGGGGGGCTAATAATTCAGATTTCAACTATATACTTAAGGCTAACCTAATATACTGATAATAACACCTAAAATTTCATGATAGCTTTAATATCCTTTTTTGATGTCTTCATGTCACCATTTACTCATCCTCCAATTGATTCACACCTGTTTGAGTTTCCATCTTCTGTTGAACACAAAAAAATATATACTACTTTCTATAGTAGTACAGGCAGGTTGTGGTACATTATAGATGTTCCTACTATGGGTGTTAGAGGCTGCTTTTTTCAATATTCTTCAGCGTGTGTGTGTGAGTTTGTGTGTGTGTGTGTGTGTGTGTGTGTGTGTGTGTGTGTGTGCGTGCGTGCGTGCGTGCGTGCGTGTGTGTGTGTGTGTGTGTGTGTGTGTGTTCAAATGAATAAAGGAATTCACTAAAGTCTAGAACGGAGTGAGTGTGACTAAATGGTGGTAAAATTTACATTTTTAGGGTGAACTGCCCCTTTAATGCTTATGTTTTCACTTTAAATAATGTGTTATTTGTGTCTTTATTTATATTTGATTTGCACCTTTGACTGTTACTTTCCTCTGTCGCATCAAAATACAGACACCCATATGACTCCATGCAGTCTATGAGTTTCACCACAAGAAAACACAGTTTGCTGAAAAAAACAACGATTTACAAGCACTTTTAAAGACCGGGGTCTACAAAGTACAGAAAAAAAAACATGCGCCTGAGGCAAATAAAAAAATTATGTATAAAGAGCCTGCGCTAAGTGAAATCCTTGACACCCTGGCGTGCAACATGAATTTAAATGAATTTTCCCTCTCTCTGTAGGAACTGGTCTGTATGTGGGCTGAATGAAGTCTGTGTGCTGCTGGTTTCCAGTGTTTTTGGGATAACATCAGGCCGTCTGCGGCAGGTGGAGCTCGGGGTCAGGTAACGGTGACCAAAACACACACACACGTGCACACACACTCGAATGCACACTCACGTAAAGTCTGCACTGCGATGTTGACCACGGAAAATTCCACTGCCCTTAGAAGAGGCTGATGTTGAACACACTGCCTGAATGTTTTTGCCCACTGCGGACACTGGGCTCTTTGACTACAGGAATTGACTACTTCCATCCTTTTCATCTAGACAAATTAATCAATGCAAAAGTAGCTTGTAAACAAATATTTTTAAAGCAAAATATTGAAAAAATACTGAAACTACACTGTAAAAAAAATATGTATTTAGAAAAGTTCTTCTGCCTGTTTATTTATGTTTTCAATTTGAGTTTAAAATTATATAATGTATGATTTTGTCATGTAAATTATGTTAGAAAAAAAAGGAACTGCCAGTTTTTTTTGTTTGTTTGTTTGTTTGTTTGTTTGTTTTTTTCTGTCATACATATTTAATTCCTAAAACATGTCATTTGTTAGAAGCAAAATTGTGTAAGATAACAATGTTTGACAATATAGATCATTTTGAGGGATGTAAATAAAAACAATGGTCCCAATGTATTTTCTGTTTTACATTTTTGATTTCTATAGCTTTAGAGCAGGGGTTTTCAAAGTGTGAGGCGCGCCTCCCCTGGGGGGCGCCAGAGCATGTCAGGGGAGGCGCGGGAGAAAATTATTATTATTAAAATTATTATTATTATATAATAAAAATATAATTATTAAGTTTAATTATTATATGTATTTTTTATTATTTTTAAACATTTTAATTAAACAAAGCTAAAAAAAATAATACGTCAAAAATAAGAAAACCTTTTTTACCCAGAAGGCCATAGCTGTGAATTCGCTTCTGTTTGGCAAGCCCGCCAATACAGGTATATGCCTGCTAATACAATGGATCGGTTTCTGAGACCCCCCGATTCAAAGCCTTCAAGTTCAGGGCTTAAACCCAAAAGAAGACGATATGATGATCAGTATTTGAGTTTAGGATTAACGTGGACAGGACCAGCTGATGAACCACGACCTTTATGTGTGGTTTGTCAAGATATTTTGGCTAATGTCAGCATGAGACCCGCTAAACTTCGGCGACACCTTGAATCCAAGCATGATGAGGTAGCAGGAAAACGCCCAGAACTTTTTGTGTGTGTGTGTGTGTGTGTGTGCGTGTGCGCGCGTGTGTGCGCGCGTGTGTGCGTGCGTGTTTGGGAGGAGGGGGGCGCCAATAAATAAGTTGTGTCAAAAGTGAGGCCCACTGTCTTAGACTTTGACAAACCCTGCTTTAGAGAATCCAAAAAGGTCCACATATTGATAAATAATGTTATGATAGCTGTTTTAGCATTAAGTTAGGATTAAATTGCCTTATAAAGCAGGGCATAACAATCAATCTAAAATTCTAAACTCTTTCCAAACAGTTATTTAACTGATGACATTGTATTCATATATATATATATATCGCAGAATAAAAAATATTGCAATGTTAGATTTTTCTAGTATCGTGGATACCATATCTTTCGAGAATTCAAAAAGGTGCAGATATTAAAAAATAATGTTATAATAACTGATCTAACATTGTTATGTTTGAATTCCCTCTTGTTAAAGTTATGTAATAATTTGTTAACAAGCAGAAAATGTTCATGGGCCACTGACATGACTACGTTGAAATGGTCTATATTGGTCTCAAAATATGTTGGATATTATTATTAGCACAAATCTCAATGAATTAATGTTTATTAGCATTGTTTGCATTATTATAGTTTTTAAATGGTAAAACATGTATTGTTGTTGTTATTATTGTTGTTATTATTATTATTTTATTTTAATAATTAATGTAGTTTTAATTCATTTTTATTTTGTTTTAAAAATATTAATTTTAGTTTTAGTTTAATAATAATTGAATTAATATTTTGTTAGCATTTTAAAAATTTTCTATAAATAACTTTTGAGTTTTTCAAGTTCAATTACATCTATTTAAGGCATAACATATCATAGATTTTATCAAAAGTGTTTGATTTAGGTCATACACACTTGGACTGTAAAAAATCCTGGTTGCCTTAAAATTTTTAAGCTGAATTAAATTAACCTCATGAGTCTATTAAGCTTATGTTATGTTAAACCTAGGGCTGGGCAATTAATTGAAAAGTAATCGAAATCAACATTTAGAACCAATAATCGATAGCATTTTTCCAAGTTATTCAATTACTTCCCCTGCCGCGTGTGGATTGGAAGCTGCTCCAGATATGTCTTGACAGCATATTTTTAAAATTATTAAATTATTATTTACATTAAAATGTTTGTTTACAGAAGATTCCAGAAATGCGCTGTTTTAAGTATTATTCAATAGTTATTTTATTTAGGAGAGATGCTGCTTATTTTACTACTTTTGAAAACATTGAAAATAATTAATTTTGTTTCCAAAAGTGCGAGTTATTTTTTTTCACATTTCTATAAGAAATATAGAATATATGTTTGAAAAAACAAGGCAATGTGTGTTTTACTTTCAGTTGTTCAGCGTTGATGTTCAATAAATGATCATAGATAGTCAATAGTGTGTGTTTCCTTTAATTATTTTAAAATCAAGTAATGTACCCTTCATTCAAAAGTGTAATATGTGAGCATATTTACTGTACAAAATCTGTCAGTGAGGGAAATAAAATAAACAAACAAACAAAAAAATAATAATAATCATAATTAAGTTAAATTGTTCAATAAATTGAGATTTTGATTTTAGGCTAAATCACCCAGCCTTAGTTAAACTGACTTAAAACAGCTTGTGTAACTTATAAAATTAAGTTAGAACATAATTAACTTAGTTTAATTAGGTACAATGGCCTAAAAACATATGCTGTCAGGACTGTGTGGTTATTTATTTAATTATTTTCTATATTTTTATTATTTTAAAGGAGTGCTTTTATGAGATAAAAACAGAAATGAAAAATGACTATTACAGCGTTCAAAGAAAGTGAAACCTTTCCACAAGCATTCATTTTCACTTCTCCATCTTCTTTTTTTCCTGTCGTTTCATCGTTTTCATTCTTTGGCACAAGTTAATGAGTTTTTGGCACTGTGTGTGATGCAATGTTGATGTAAGGGATGCTACGAGAAAAGAAGAGATCAACAGAAGAACAAATCCATTTTAAACAACTCTCTTCATGTCCTAGAGATATTCTGCAAATCACAAGATGAACGTTTTAATTATAAATAAGCCTTGTTGCATGCAGTCATCTATAAAAAGGCAAACATCCTCAAGACAAACAACTTTAGGACATAATTAAGACATGCTCAGCCTCTTTTTTTTAAGCTGTTGCATAAATGTGTTCAGGCTGTTATTGGCGCATTTCTGTTTGCTTCAGAGCCAAGCATTCAAAGTCTCTAGCTTTTTAGAGATGTTCATATGTAAAAGAGCTGAGTAAGGCACAAACTAATGCATATCAACACTATACAAAATAGAAAATGTGACAATACGAAATTGCATACTTCCCTATTAGGGCTGCGCAATATATCGTTTCAGCATCGATATGCTATATGATTTGATCATTTGCAATAGCCACATTGCATTTATATGCAATGTTGATTCTGCATTATAATTGATCATTCTGCAAGTGATTTTTGAGGCCAGTGACTGTGTGAGGGTTTTAGAGGTATTGAGGCCTATGAAATTGTACCATTTGTAACAAATTAATAACATAAAATCTTATTTAATTATTTATAAATCGAAGACAATGTGGTATTATTTTACATTAGATTATTCAATTACTTTATACATAAATACAGTTTGACTCCTTGGAAAACAATAAAACACTGTTTATTTATTTTGTTTATTGAACTTATTAAACACTTTTATTTCTTAATCTTATTGATGCTTGTAGACTGTTTATTATATTTTATGCATATTTATACGGAACAATCACAATCAATTTAAAATGATAAATTCTTTCCAAATAGTTATTCAACTCATTTATTGAAATTGTACTTATATCGCAATATATATGCAAAATAAAAATAAAAATCGCAAAATAAGTTTTTTTTCAATATCGTGCAGCCCTATTTCCTTTTATATTGTATGTGAAGAACAGTATGTGAGCCGAGTAGTATGTCTGAATTAATAGTATTCAAAAAACAGGAGGCACGAAGTACCGGATGACCTATTAATGCCAGGAAGATTTTGAAGTGCACATCCAATGGATTGCTATGCTATCCCATAACGCCACACAATAGAATTTATGAATGGGAGTGAAGTGACATAACTAACATGGGTAGATCAAAAAAAAAATTGTTGAAAATTGTTCCATTCATACTACTCACATTCATGCTATATTGAACAACGATAGACAAACTCTGTCTTGAATGTTTGGAGTCCTGTGAAGTTTAGCTCCAACCATAATAAAATACACCTGCCAATACTTCCATGCTATATAGTACGCAAAAACAATAATGCGAGCCAAGTAGTATGTGCGAATTCATATTCGAAATGTGAGAAGTACCCGGATGACCTACTGCTTCCGGCGAGATTCTGAAGTGCGAATCCGAGGGATGCTACGCTATCTCTTGATGCACCATAAGAGAAATCATGAATGGGACACACAACTGACTTGGGTAGATCACGTGATGTTGACAAATTGGCAGATGCAGTACAGTTCCATTCATACTATTGACATTTATACTGTAAAGAACGTACTTTTATCAAGTAGTACAGTACATTCAAATTCAAATGCAGTACCTACTAAGTAGTTGGTGATTTTAGACAGAGCCCTAGTGATCCTGAAGACTCATTAGCAAGTTCATGTTTGATAAGTGATAGAGCGAAACTCTGCTGGACACCGGTCCTCCAGGACCAAGTTTGCCCATCCCTGATATAGAACTCACTTTTCTAACAGTCATGTTGTAACTGAAATGTAGTACCTAATCGAGTAGTAGGCGATTTTGGATGCAACCAGAATAAATTTGGGCAGAATTTCAAAAATGTTTTGAAGATATTCATTGAACATTTATGCAGCAATAGCAAAAGTACATTTCTGTAGTACATTTTTTAAATCTCAGTTTTTAGTGGTTATCTAAAATGAGGTAAATCTGCTCAGATTATTTAGTCTCTGGTCTTTAGTCTATCAGTTTAGACAGTTCTTTAATGTGTCACTAACTAACAGAAATCATTAAGCAACAATTTTTTATCAATTTTTGACCAAACTAGGGGCCGATCAAACCGAATGAGATTTTGCGTTGAGAGGTGCCTTTTTTGAATGATTTACTTTTTCATTGTCAAATCAAATGAAAGCAGAGGCGGGGTTTCCGTTGAGGTGACAGAGTTTGTGTTCTCAAGATGACTACGGAGACTGTGAAAGATGGAGGAGAGACTTGCTGTTTTGAGTTATCCGGTGCTTTATGACTCAATCTTTAATTTCACAATATTATTAAATGAACAGCTGATTCAGTCGTTACCTAGAGTCATAAAAAACACTTATGTTTTGTCAACAAAAAAGGCAGTGTGGTGTTTTGTGTTTTTAAAATGGAAAGACGTGTTCGGTGTGATCTACCCCTTAGAATGGCCTCATAATGATCATGTTTATTACAGATTTATGACACAAAATGCATTCTCTTGGTAACGTCAAGTTGTCATAACAAAGACATCTCTTACAATGTCACCTTTGCATTTAAAATGACATATCTAGAGCAAATGACACTTAATAGCACTTGTCTTAAGCGTGCACAAAATCTCCTTCATATCTGTGACGTCATGTCATGATTTTAAAGGTTTTCATGTCTTATTAATACCTTTTCAAATAAAGTGTATTTTTTTTTGGAAACTGCAATTTTCAAATTAAAAAAAGGTTGTGCAGATAGGACTTGTTGTAACAATAGATTACAATCTGCCATTATTATTAGAACCATGCTACTCTGTGCCATTAGCAAGGTCATTTTTAAAAATGTTTCTTCATCCATTTGCTCACATTGTTCTTTTATACTCTCAAGCATGAGTTCTTGGTTGCTATGTATTTACTATACACTATAATTATCAAACAGAGCCACATATTTGTACTAGATTAGAAATCCATTTGGAAAAAAATAACCCATGTGGATAGAAACAAACTGAGAAAGTCATACAGTGTTAGGCTGTGCCCTTCTCTCCTCTACTTCTACAGTATGTTATTGAATTGTCGCTCTATGCCCTTAATCACATTCAGATACAGTGCTTTTGTTTGCTCAGGGGCCTCATCAGTATTTCCTCCTTGTTCAGTAGCTGTCATTTTGTGTTTTTCAGTCTGTGAGTGAAGGCTGAGTCAGGCATGAATCAGCGCTGCTTTTAATTGACGGACAGCTTGGTGGGAAACAAGGTCTCGGGAGAGCGGGAGTCCGATAACAGGAGTGAAAGCAAGATCATCTTTCAGTCTTCAGTGCCACTCGCCTTTCACAACATGGCCTCTCTGGTGGCACCAATCTCCTCTTTTGGGACGTAGAAAGACTCAAGGACGCACAGGACAGAACTTGGTGTCGTTGCCTTAACAAGTCCCGTCTCCTGGATTTGCTATAGTTCTTGAAACAGACACTAAACAATGAACATTTTTTAGAAAGGTGCAGTCTCTGATTTTATATGTGTCTGTGTAACATCGAGGGCCAATGTGTGTGGCTCGAGAGCCCATCATGGCCAGATCTCTGCTGAAGATCCACCGCTATTTTCGGCGTAAACCGGTGCGCTTTTTCTCCTTCATCCTGCTCTACCTCACTGCCGGCAGCCTTGTTTTTCTCCACTCCGGCTTCTCCAGCGATTCTTCTACCGCCGGCATCGCTGGAAGCGGCAGCGACCCACTTCTGTCTGAGGGTAGAGGAGGTACAGGTGGTGGGAGCGCCACGTCTGAGGGTCTGGGGCTCTTAGGTCGGGTGTTTAAAGAGACACGGAGAACCCCCCGGAGATTCGGACCACCGTGGATGAAGGAGAGTAGGGGGCAGGATGCACCCGAGTGGGCCGGACGAGGATTTGATCACACCAGCAGCTGGAGCCATGGAGCCAAAGGACGAACCACCAAAGAGATGGATGATGGGAGAGGTAAGAGCATTTCCTGCATTCTGTTTGTTTCATCTTTGAAATTGGTGTTAACCAAAGTTCATTGGTCAAAACAACAGCATTGAATGAAGTTCCATACTAGTCCAGCCTGGTTAATACTGCCGTTCACAAACAAAATATGATTTGGTATAGGACTGGGCGATATTGCAAAAAAAAATTATCACAGTATCATGTTTCAAATCATTCAATATTGATAATTAATAAATATTTGTTAGCAATACATATAGGAATATTAGGATTTATTTTATTTAAACATTTTATTTCAGTTTACCAACATTACTAAGGCAAATAGTTTAAATAGTCAAAAACAAATTTTTTTAAACAAAGTATCTGATCACTTTATAATAAACAATCGCGTACGTGGAAACGCGTGCATGTAGATTCCTTGACCATTACAATGGACTCTGCGTCCATGCTCCCCTGCCTTCTCTCGTAACTAGGCGACCATCAACCATTTTCTCAGTGAATGACAAACGGACAAACCATTGCTGCAGCTCTAATGCAAGTTTATGGACAAAAGTAAAAAGCGCTGTTGTGTTTGTGTGTGCGCTGTTTGTCTGAGGTAATTAATCTACCACTATTACTGATATGTGTAAATTCCATACAAAGGGCCCTATTATACATCCGGCGCAAGTGTTATTTGCTAGTTTCAGCTTGACGGAAGTGTCGTTTTGCTGTTTTGCACTATGTTGTTTAAATAGCCAATGCATTTGCGCTCATATGTGCTTTTGTATAATGTTATTATTATTAGCAGTATTATTTATTATATCCATATTTATATTTGTTTTATTAAAAACAAGCTTAGATTTGCCCACCTGCAGGTTTTAGACCATATGGGGCACAGCATGTGTTTTAGGATATAACTCAGGTTTTTAAAACACACTATGTTATTATTGTTCATTTATTCGTTTGCTGGAAATTAGAACTGAATTTAAAAAATAGTTTTGAAACAAATATTTGCGCTTAACAAACTAAATTAATTATTTATAGGCTAATTGATGTCTGTGCGTACAAGGTTTCCCTATCCACGAGAGCAAAAGTGAAAGTAGATCATTTATCTCTCTTTCTTGCACGGTAGATGCTCTGTTTAATTGTTTTCTGTTAAAAAAAACTATTAACTGTTAACTGTTTGCTTGTGAAATGCTCAGTTTTTCCACTTACACTTACTTTACGTCATGTAAATAGCAAATGCGCTTATGGCGCGACGCAGCTGGCTCTTAAAGTGAATGGGAGATGAGACTCTGATTGGTTTCTTCTCAAAACACACCTATAACTCATTAGGAAAATAAACTCAACCCTTTTAGACCATGCGCCACGGAGCAAAGTGGATTTTCCCATCCTTAAATTAGGAAATATGGATTCTGACACGCCGTGAATGCGTTTGTGCCCTGCACTTTCCGTTTTGCGCATGGACCATCAAAATAGAGCCCAAAGTGTGAAGCTGATTGGTTAGTTCTACTCAAATTAATGGTGGAGTCCTTGCGGCATTCAGAAAAGTTCAGAAGTTTTTAAATAGGTGCGGCTGGAAAATGCGCATGGTTCATGTGCGCGCCACTTGCACAACATGTGCACGTCGCTCTAATATGCGCAGTGTGCAAGTCGCGCGCCTCCATTTAAAATGACAAACTTACACCCTAAGCTTATTGGCACTGCTTCCAAAGCGCGTGCTCCTTCATACCAAAGCTGCACTACATACCAAATCTTTTATTTTATCAATATTTACAATATTATTTAGTCAATAAATATTAATAGAGATTTTATCGCCCTGCACTAATTTGATAGATAATTTGACCTAAAAATAAATATATCCTGGAAATCTTAAAACAGAATGCTATATAATAAAGTGATGTCCACTTTTAGAGCCAATCGATTTTTCAAAATGCATTGCTATTCTCTCTCGAATAGATTCTGAACTTTTTTTAACAGTAGATGATGCTTTATGCTGTACAAACAGCAGTATTCTGCTTCCATCCAAGTCTTTACAAATACTACTTGAACCTAAAATCCTCATTAATAAATTAAAGGTTTAAGCTGATTTCAAGTTTGTTCATAGTCTGCTGTGTTTGTGTTATCAGAGTGGAACCCGTTTACCCCTGTTTATATTTTACAACTATGCAAAGGCTGAAATGAATGCAAGCGTCATGCTCACCAATGCTTTGTACTTTGCATTTTGAAATGTTTTGAAATTTTTATCAACAGAGATGAGCACATTTGTTTATGTTATAAAAATTGTTTCAAATAAATGCAGAATGACTTGATTCATATCTTTGTGAACAGAAAATACATGTGAATATTACTGCTTGCAGTGTATGAGACACTCTAGTCAGGAAAGCAAGTTAGTAAATACATAAATACACAGTTTATAATGTGTGTGTATTTATGTAGCACATTTAGTGTGTATGGCCATACACTCAAAGCACTTCACAATCATGAGAGGGGGTCTCTTCACACCACAACCATGTGCAGCATCCAATTGGATGATGCGAGAGCAGCCACAGGACAAGGCCGCCAGTACGTTCACCACACATCAGCTATTGGTGGAGTGGGGAGACATTGATACAGCAACTTCGGTGGATAGAAATGATTGGAAGACCATGATCGGTAAGAGCCGATGGAAGGAATTTGGCCAGGACACTGGGGTTACACCTCTACTCTTTATGAGAAGTGCCATGGGATATTTAATGATCCCAGAAAGTCAGAACCTTGGTTCGACATCTCATCCGAAAGACAGCGCTCACTGACAGTATAGTGTCCCCTTCACTTTACTGGAGCATTAGGACTCACACAGACAGCAGGTTTAGCACCCCCTGCTGGCCTAACAAATACTACTTTCAACAGCTACCCGGTTTTTCCATGTGGTCTCCCATCCAGGTACTAACCAGGCTCAAGCCCTGCTTAGCTTCAGTGAGTTACTAGTCTTGAACTGCAGGGTTATATGGCCATGGCTTCACCACAGCAGTCATTCATTTTATAACATCTGAGTTCAATTCAGAAGTAAAACATACCATATGAACTGTACCCCAGATCTTTTTAGGTGGAGTTAACTTTTGCAAAGAGAAAACAATGTTATCATTATTCAAACAAAAGATTTTTGATGTCAAACTAGCTTAAGTTTAGTTGAATCGGTTGGAAACCAAACCAAGTGTGAAACCACAGTTACTCTATTTTGATTGATCCATATATATCGTTCTAAAAAAACCTAAAAGCAGCTTTACGGTTTAGAATAAAGTGAAGACAAACACAATATTTTATATGCTTGCACTTGTTGTCATTGTTGTCATTGACAATTTAAGTTAAATATCTTACATTTAAATTGATATTGCAAACTTTTAAAAGTTAATGGCAGATCTAGTTTATGGAAATTGAGATCTGTGAAGCTATTAGGGAAATAAATTAGACAGAGGATGTATTTCTGTTTTTAGCATCTACACCACTGCTGTTGATGTTTTTTCAGCTGGATGAACGCAGAGAATGTTCCTTATATCAAACAGAATATGTTACACGTTCTCGCTGCAGATGCATGTGGTTATGGGTGTTAAAAAAAGAAATGATTAATGTTGCTCTCCGTCATGTCTCAAACCACAAAGCACAGTTATCCTTTGATGAAAGCAACCTCAGACTGTCTCAGTGGAGAAAAAGTCTTAAAGGAGGAATTTTGTGATATAGAAACACTGAGCACATTCCTATCACCCAGTCGGGCCCAGCAGAATCAGGATCCATGTTAGTTTAAAGAGCTCAAACATTTTAAGCTGCAGAGTACAAAACTGATTAGGATAAAGGTTAATGTACTAATATAGCCTTATTTTGTTATTTAATTGTATTATTAAGATAAATTCACCTGAAGTGCTTTTCCCCTGCTGTGTAGAGTAATAAATACAGTTGAAGTTAGAATTATTAGTTCTCCTGAATTATTAGAACCTCCTGTATGTTTCTTGTTTCTGTAAGTTCCTGTTTAATGGAATAAAAACTTTTCTTTTATTTTTGCTATGATGACAGTACATAATATTTTACTAGATATTTTTTCAAGACGCTTCTATACAGCTTAAAGTGACATTTGAAGGCTTTTACTTGGTTAATTAGGTTCATTAGGCAAGTTAGGGTAATTAGGGAAGTCATTGTATTATGATGGTTTGTTCTGTAGACAATTAATGAAAAGTTTGCTAATAAAAGGGGGCTAATAATATTGACCTTAAAATGTTTTTATTTTTATAAAATCTGCTTTTATTGTTGCCGAAATAAAACAAATAAGACTTTCTGTAGAATATTTTTTTATAGGCAATACTGTGAAAAGTTCCTTGCTTTGTTAAGCATCATTTAGAAAATATTTGAAAAAGAAAAAAATCACTGGAGGGCTAATAATTTTGACTTTAACTGTATATATTTGTTATTACATTACATTTATGTTTATTTGCATGAATGTATCACACTCGGACCACTACCCTGTGCAACTTTTGCAGTTGTGTGTTTTACATTGGTTCATGTTGCTCTACTGAAGTGCTCAGGGTGTGGGGAGCAGTAAACACTGTGTGCCCTGTGAAGCAGAATGCAGATATTGATTAGAGTGAGCTGATCACAGGAGGATGATTCAGCGTGTTGGTGGTCAGTTTTCACAAAGAGTCATGTTTAATATGAAGGCCATGGAGGATGGCAGACCGGCTGCGTTTTTAAAGCTTTAAGCTGGAGGAGTGGAGTGCCCTTTTGGTGAATGCTGAAAGAAATAATGAATGTGTGTGTGTGTGTTTTTTCTGATGGTTGTAGAGTAGCACATTTGTGAGCTGTTCATAGCTTTCGAAAGATGCTTCATAGTCCTAATGTATTTTTCCTAGATCTAGGCACACACATCTTAAAAACAGAAAATTTATATTTGAGTTTGATGAAAATTCATGATTTTAGTTAATGCAGTAGCAAAAATAATCTATTTGAGTACAGTAAATTAACAGAAAATGTATTTGTTATTTTTAATAAAGCTTATTTGAGCAATA